CGATAGGTATAAAAGCACACCGAGCGGCATTAACGCAGCCGATTGTACGAGACGGACGATTTTTGCACCGTTAAAAGTGCAATCGACCCGATAGCACGAGATGCGGGAGAACAATAGACGTCGGAAAGAGGAACAAGGTGTCGCCGGTTTGTATCTCGAAACATATCTCGAAAGTCCCGTCGGTGGCGGACGAGTCGCGTAATTGATCGGCGGTTGATTTCTACACCGAGAGCAGAGGGTGGGGGGAGGAGGAAGAGAGAGAGAGAGAGAGATAGATCGTCTCTCAATTCGCGGTCGAACGAACGTAATCGATGACACAAAGTATCGACGTGACGCCGACAATAAACAGAGATTACGGTAACGAACGCGCGATGTAGAGGAGCGCGAGCGAAGAAACACACGCGCGTATACCAAATGAGCGCGAACAGTCGACGACGTACTTAGCATTGTGCGCCCGGCACGGCGCGGCTTCACCCACTCTGCGGGGCGTTCATAGATATGTACATCCACTTTGGCTTCTTAACTTTCGCTATTAAGCGATTTCGCTGAGATCGGTACTTGTGAGCAAAGTTTGCAAAGCGCAGTGAGAGAGAGATACAGAAAGAGATAGAGAAAGAAAGAGAGAGAAGAGCCCGGTGCGGATTGCAGGTGTGTTTATTACGCGGAAAAAGAGTGGAAAAACCGCGGTATTTCGCGGTGCTATTCTGTTGCCGGACCGAATCGTCGATCTCCGCATTCACGACTGATAAATTGCCTACGTGCGTGCGCACGCACGCACGCACGCACGCACGCACCTGAGTGACGCGAGTTTCNCCCCCCCCCCCCTCCTCTTTTTCTCTCCTTTTTTATATTTAATACGGCAATATATCCCGCGATCGATGCGACGGCATACTTTATACTCGGCATTTACGTGTTCGAGAACCGGCTACATCAGGGGAAGGTAGAGGGATGAATCCGCGTGACGCGTGATTATCATGGGAAAGTGATAACTGCACGTCGCCTCGGCGAGGAGAAGATTGTTGTAACATTGATCTTTTGTTTTTGCGCCCCTCGGTAATGTGCCTACGTGTAATCATGAATAAGGAGCTGTCGCGCGCGGTTAATTACGAGCGATATTGTTATTATCGGGTGCACGTGCGTTTAACGCATTATTAATGCCGTTCTCATAAGTACATTTGCGTGTGTATAATTTTTTGTTGAAAATTATAATTTCTCCCTATTATTATTAACATATATCGTAATATTCCTTGTTTTTGAGAAATAACGCGCGCAACGCATATATATATATATATATATATTTACATGTTACGCTTCTCTCTTTAATTATAAATTATACACACACAAACCAACATCATTATTTCAAGTCCATCCTAATTTCGACGTACGGCAATAGTAAAAAATGACGAAGCGACGGTACGTAAATGTATTAATCGATACGCCACGACGAAAAGCGTCGTTACATCGTTAACGAAAACGACTCGTTGCAAGTTGGCGAATACAGTTTACCGCGGAGCTAGTGCTTCCGGCAAAAAAAAGTTTCGAAGGTTCCGGTAACAACCCGACGTTATAGTCGTAAAACGATGAAATCAATGCGTAACGACCGGTACCGCTATATTTAACCGACGAGAGTACAGGTAATTCCTATAACCGTCCCCAGCGCATTGACAGGTGCAATTTATCTGAATGCGCGGCGCGCTCGCGCGCGCCCTCGCGCGCGAGCTCTGTTTCAAAACGCTCGAAAAACATTATTCGCGCTTCGACATCGCTTCCCTCCGATACGCGCGGTCGCGGCGGTCTTACACAGACTGCAACGTAATTGGTCGAACGATATAAAACGATATCGTGGCACAAAGGAGATATCCGTGCGATCTTCCAGTCACCGAATTTCCACCGTCGTAGTTGTGTGTGTGCGTCCCGCTCCTCCGCGCGTTGTCACGCAAAAGTGATGTTCGAACGGCATTTAAATTTTGCACGGTCTCATCGATTTCCCTCGAATCGAGTATTTTGAAGTTCGAAGAACAGAGGAAAACATCGAGATCTAATCGATCGATCAAATTTTCTCGATCAGTCGCGGTTCGATTGATCAATTCAAACAATGAGCGAAAATCGACCGATTACATTCGTTGAATTTCTAGGTACTGTGATTGGTTCATTTATTTTTTAACTGTGTTTACTTATATGTTACGATTCTAAAAGTTTTAGCAGAATCGCTGACTTGTCAGTTTAAGATGACGTTTCATATTTTAAGTCTTTGCCTTGAGTAACGCACGATGTCTCATGTCCGGAGTCTTAATTTGAAAAATCGTTCAGTTTGTGATGGGTAACAAACTGTATAATAAAATGTATAATGAAATATATAATAAAAGAAGGGTGACATATAATGTAGGAGCTTTAGAACCTTAATTGTAGGTGTCAGTCGTATATATTTTATCAATATTTTACACAATATTTTCCATATTTAAAACGGCTACGATACATTGAAATATTTCGATATATACACTTTAGAAATATTACACGTGTTTAGCGATGGGATTGAGACCGGTTTTGATACTATCGATACTATCAATAGTATCGATACGTTTCTGAAATTGATATTTTTGTATTAATTCGTTCCAAGATATAGTCACAAACAACTTGAGATGTATTGAAACGTCCCTGTTAAAAATTTCCAGGTGGATTCCCATGGAAATCCATAGGAACTCATGTAAATCTATAATAGGATAATAAAAATCCATATATCTACATGGTTTGTGAAAATTCACATAGGAATCCACATAGATTCCTTATTAGGACTTGGGTTTTTGACATAAATTCTCAGGAGCAACTATGAGATTCCATATGGATTTTCTATATGGATTCTCACCTGATTTTTTTTCAACAGGGATACGACTGTCGTATCAATATATATCAATTACATGTAATTCACAACTTATCAGATATAAAATTAGTACAAAAATAATTATATCTTACGGTTAATAACGGTGAAAAATGATTAATAAATATGAAATCATATTTATTGTGATATGCCCACGATTTTTTCAGTATTTTTACATCAATTTTTATTATAATGTTATAATGTTTTCATCAAGATTAGAAGATCAGCATACATTTGACATCGAAACCATATTGCAAAGCATATAACAGTAGACTGTTCGTTTTATTGATATCTTAATGACTACTTAATAATTAATTATTGAATCGATACTATGTGAAGTATCAATAAATTTATCTTACTAATGCCAATGATAATTTATTCTGATATTAATTTGATAACACGATGCTTGGGAATTGATACATATTGATATATATTAATAAGTACATCATTCAATCGGTCCCACATGTGCTGGTTTTAAAATATGTCTTCAACTTTCGGAAATCTTAATGTATGATCAATATTGTAATTTTATACGGCTGAAGATGATCCAAATCAGGGATCGAAACATCTCGAATTATTGTAACCATTGTAAATAAATACGGGAGATATTGTACAAAATATTGATAAATATATACGATTGACATCTGAAATTAAGTCTCTAAAGTCGCAATATTAGATATTATATAAAATTGTTTCCGACGTTTCATGAATATTTCAGTTCATTTCTTCGGTTCTGAGATGCAGAACGATCTGAAACTAAAAGAAGTTAGGTTATTTTTAGTTGTAAACATGTTTCAACGTATGAATCTATTATTACATTATTATTATTATTTTTTGCATATATGGGATAAGCATCCCTTTTATACATTATATAAATAAAAACAAAAAAAATAATGACAGTTGAATCTCTGTGTGTGTGTGTGTGTCATGTTAGAAATATTTACGAAATATTCGTTTTTTTCATATCTTTATGTACATATATTTTCTTGCAAAGGTGACAACGTTGACACTTCACATACACGTTTAAGGATAACTTTCACCAAATTTTGGTTAATCTAATCGTGAATTTAATATTGCTGTCAATCAAATATTACTTACTCTACCTTACTAATGGAGATAGAAATGATTAACTTTTCGATGATTGTTGAACGACAAGTTACAGAACTGGGAAATAACATTGGCATTTTTTACTATAATTCACCTGTTAGTTTAGGGCTTCTATTTCCTCGCAGGCATTTTGATTAATGATGTCAGAAAAGATATGTCCGAAATTCTTGTGAAATCGAGACAAAAGGGTATGTCCATAAAATAGGCATAAAGAGGAAAAGTTGTCGGAATATTTTGCAAACGTACTCGGTCGATCGCAAGTGTCATTTTTTGGGCGTAACTTTTCATTTCGACATATTTTGCAAGAGTTTTGAACAAGTCGTCGAACAAGACGATTGCGGCGAGGGGCCAAGAGCTTCAGCTTAAATTTGGTGAAGGTTTCCTTAGAGAAACGAGACAGTACAGTGCGTTACTAAAGACTCAGGGTATGAAACGTTGTCTGGAAATTACACGTCAGCCGAGGCCCTTAATCGTTAGTGGCAGAATCTATCGGCGACTCGAGATTACGATCGGGGCTGAAGAGCGAGCGGACACCCTGTATACACAGCTTGCTGCGCTACAACGTCGCGGGCCAAACGAATCACGCGAGTATTGCGCGCAGTGCTACGTACACGCCATCGCGCGTACGCGTCACGCGAGTGTGCACGTTTGCGCTCCGGCATAATTATGTGTGTGCGTGTCGGCGAGCACATGTCCGGGGCACGTGCGTGCGCGCCGTTTCACGCATTAGGCGCAGCAATAAATAGCAGCCGAACGGGAAGGAATAATAAAAGATAAGCCCGTATCGTCGGCTGATATCGGCCGTGCTTCCTCGGATGTACCGTTTAAATGCGTTACAGGCGCGCTCGTAAACACGCTCTTCTCGCGACAGTGCGTCTCTCCCGCCTGTGGTATAACGCACGGTAGCGACGACGACGACGACGATTGCGATTGCGTCGCAACTGGGCCACGTGACCGCGGATATTCTCCGTCTCGTTGGTCGCGTCCTGTGGAGGGTCACCAGGTCATTCTTATGTAGCAGGGTTGCGGGGTGCAGTTCAGACATGGGAAGTGAGCATTACTGCCTGAGGTGGAACAATCATCAGAGCAACTTGCTGGGTGTGTTTAGTCAACTGCTGGAGTCGGAGTCGCTAGTGGACGTGACACTGGCGTGCACGGAGGGACCGTCGATACGCGCTCACAAGGTAGTCCTCTCCGCGTGCTCCAGCTACTTCCAGGCCCTGTTCCTCGACCATCCGAACCGCCACCCCATTGTCATCCTAAAGGACGTACGTTTCGCCGAGCTACGTACCCTCGTCGACTTCATGTACAAGGGCGAGGTAAACGTCGAGTACTGCCAGCTATCGGCCCTGCTCAAGACAGCGGAGAGCCTCAAGGTTAAGGGTCTAGCGGACATGACGAACATCAACGCGGCGGTATCGTCCAGGGACGAGCAGCAGCAGCAGCAACAACAACAACAACAGCAGCAGCAACAACAACAACAGCAACACACAAGCGCCTCCGACTCGTCGCGGGAACATCATCGGGAACGGGAGCGAGAGAACATAAAGGAGACGAGCGGCAAGGACAGGGAGCGAGAGCCGAGCGTCGCCGGGGTGGCCGTGGCCGGCGGCGCTAAGGAATGCGAGCAACAGCAACCGAGCGTTGCTCAGAACGCCCCGAGCGAGCCTACGGAGGCGGTAGACATGACGGAGTGTCCGCCGTCACCCACGGCACCCGGTAGCCCGTGTCCGGGGCCGCTCGCCCTCGACCGGCCCAGGAGGGACTCCGAGGACGTGGCCAGCCTCGAGGAGACCCGGGGCTCCTTGAGCCCGATCTCGGTGCACAGCGGACCATCCGACATGAGCCTCAGCAACAACACCGGCGGCGGCGCGCCCGGCGTGCTGCCGTTGAACCTGCCGCAGAGCCGGCTTCCGTCCCCGCACAGTACCGAGCCCCTCGCCGGCCCGTCGGGCTTACCCCCGGTCCAGCAGGTCCCGCTAGTAAGTAGCCATACGATTATTAACCCTCTCGAGGCGGTCGCGATATGTAAACCACGCGATATGCCTTCCAGCCGTTCGCGGCTTTCTCGGGGAATTCGAATTCTAACGATGAGTTGAGAGTACCACAGGATAACGTTATATCGAAAAGTTAGTCGTACTAAGCAGACTAGACTGTTTTTTTTTTTACTTTTCAATTCCCAATTTTCTTTTCGGGAATCTAGCGTTATTTTAATAGAAAGAGAGATATCAGGTAGGTAGAAGTAGTATTTTCAACGTTTGATTTGAAAGGTGGTTTCAAAAGGAGATCATTAACTATATATGTTATGAGAAATTAGAAAATGATGAAAATTCAATGTTTTCTCTTTCAAGATAAATAAAGCATAATTATAATTATGTGGCTCCAAATATGGTCGATTAAAATGACGTAGAGAAAGAGAAAATGAGGGACCAATTAAAATATTTTTATATGCCGTATCTTTAAGACTTCTATTTCTTCGCCGTAATTCTCTTGATTGACGTCACATGCAAGAAAATATTTGCTCAAAATTTTTACAAAATGAGTTTAAATATGTTTAAAGAAGTTCTAGCGTTTAACCGCAAATATAAGATCAATCTGTAATGTATAATACAAAAGTTAATTGAACTAATAGAATACGCAACAGAAATTTCAATAATTTTCACTGTATCGTTTCCAAAATATTTAATTATAAACTTATACATGTGCAAGCATAGGAATCTCATAAAATATCAAATTTCTTCTAATTTAACATATTTGTATAGATGGAAGTTTGAAAAACTATTGTAATATTAAAGACTAATATACAGATATTACAGATAAATTTAAGAATTTTATTGGCCGTTTCGTTTTGAAAATACAATGGTGAAAAGTTTATAACTTATAGTAATATTCAAGATATGTACATACAAGTATATATTTAAATACTTATATACTTCTTTCTATTATATATACATCTCTATTAGATCAATTGATGCACAAATATAGCATTAATACGTTGAGTGCTGCATGAGCCATCGACTTTCTGTTTAGGCATAACACATATTTTACGTTGTCTCTTCCCTTCATAACAATGATTTTTGTAATCTTATAAATATTATAAAACATATCCTATAAAGATATATGATAAAAATATATAATAAATGCAGTAATGGATTATCAGTGGCTTATGCGGCGTGAATGAAAAGTCATATGAAATTGGCGCGGCACTCAACGTGTTAATGGGAAAAATAAAAAATAATATTTTCATATTTGTAATATTGCGCGTATATACATTTACCTCAACTTCGTTTCAAATTAATATTTATTATTTGATACTGAAATAAATGTATAGAGAAGAAATTTTGCTTGATAAATAATAAATTTATGAGAGGTTTCCTTGATGTGTCACGGAAAGCGGCACTTAGCGCTAAAATATCCTTAAAAATATACGAAAAAATGCATAAATAAAAGATAAGAAAGAAAAATAACCATAAAGTGGCATTTGCAATCGATCGAGTAGATTTATAAAACAGTTCTAACCTTTTAACCTATATTTCTTCATAATCCTGTTACGTTAATTTTACGGTTTTTTATTGATTGTTGGAGCAAAAAGAAAGTTTTCAAACTATTTTACGAATCTTCTCGGTCAATTGCAAATATCATTTTGTAGACATGTTTTTTCAACATATTTTGCAAGGATTTTAGACATATTTTCTCGCTCCTGACGTCATCAATTAAAAAACCGCGACGAGAGAGAACTTTAAGAATATAACATATATCTCCAAAAGATTTTTTAATTGATCTGTCATAAATTAAGATGATCGTGGCGAGTATCTAGAAGCTTTAAGGATACGCCCGGATTCAAAGAGTTAATAGTAAAAATTAGTTGAATCTTACTCTCCACAGTATAATAAGAATTTAATAAACATTTTTTATGAAGCAAACATTTCGATACCTGGACATCTGTTGCGTATAATAAATATTTAATAGAGTCGATAATTTAATTTACTCTTTATATTCCATGTTAACAAAAAAATTGTTTTATTTACATTTTTAATTCACGACGGATCAATTAAGAGATGATAATTTATCATACCAAGTACACGCACGAAACAATGCACATATTGTGAGATTAGCCATGTATATTTACGCAATGCTTCTAATTGAGTGAAGGCAAAATTATTATTGCTGTAATTACTACCGTTTGGTAGTTGATGGAACTGAGTTCTAAATGAGACCAATGGATTTTCTGAGGTCCAATCATATCAGAAAATTGTTATTATTTTTGTTTTTATATATTTTATAAATAAAGATGTTCTAGCCCAAAGTCCGAAATCGTAAAATTCTGCAAACATTAAAAATCATCTTAATTTCTATTGTAGGTCCAGTACTATTTGTTTCCATTATAGGCCTAGTATAGGCCATTATAGGTCTTTCTTTTTTATTTCATAAGATGGCGCAACGAAATAGGCAGCGGTAGAGTATCTAAAATAAGAATATAGCCACTGTCGCTGTGGCCGTCATGTTTGGATTAAAATCGGAAGTTCACGCCATAATATGCGAAATGTTCATATATTATTAAAATAGGTCCAAACCGAAATAAATCAATAATTGATCACAATATGAAACGTACAAACGCACTTTTCTTTTAAGACATTTTGTAGACTTCGTAAATGTCAAATCTTTACTTGTTTTGTCACTCAGCTGATAACTTTGGTTACATTTCAGCAAGGGACACAGTCGACATAAGTCCCGTTATATCATCATTTGTTGTCATCATATACTTATATCGCATTTGGTAAAGAAAAGGATCATAGATGATATAACTATACTTGTGTGTCGACCTTTGCTTCTTGCTAGAAAATCATCTTTGACATATCCTAACCGGAAGCTAGCCTAAATATGGCGGAGCCAATCAGAAATCAGACATACAGTGGCCATATTTTTATTATAGGCATTCTAGGCAGCGGAAGTTTTAGAAACTTTTATTTTACCGACCGATTTATTGGCACTGTAAAAGTTGTGCTGATTACAATTACCATACGATTATGGATTTAATTTGTGATTATCGATTATGCTATTTTCATGATCAGTGTTCAATAGTATACATTTCATTATAGAAACGAAGTTTTTGACATGGAAGTGATAGTACTGATTTTGTGATAAAAACAAAGGAGAAGAAGAGACTAGAAGAAAACAAGTTTATAAAAAGATACAATAATATCTCGCACGAAGCAGCACACAAGCTGCAAGGCTGGTCACGTATAAGGGAGACCATATTTGCAAACTTTTTAGAATTTCGGTGTTAAAACTTTTTCGACAATTAATTGTTGCGATTGGCTATATAAAAATGATAAAGATAACTTTTCTTGATGTTTTCATATTAAATATAATTTTGTAAAATACATATTTTGTTTTTAATGACCGAAATACATATATGCTGTATTATTGCGAAATTATTTCGTTATCGGAGTAAATTAGCAAGTAATCTACGGTAAAAGTTAGCAATATATAAAAATATATGTAGACATGCAGCTTGAGAATCGTTTCATCATTTTGCAACTATTTTGTAACAAACAAGATTTACTTTTGCTGTCTTGTTAACGAAAAAAATCACATATTTTCGATAATCAGAATATGATTGAATAATTTTAGTTTTTGTTATTTACATTCATATAATTTGATTCTCTCTCTTTAAAATTAGATTATTGGTCTATAATTTTTGACATTACGTTAAACTGTATTTGTTTACGATTTCAATCATTTTATGAATAAGAATTATTTTTATTGTGCAAAACAGTAAATTATATATCCGTAGAAAACTTTATTCTAACTAACATCCCAGGTAGCAGGGTGAGGTTAAATGACGTTAAGTTTGAGGTTAAATGAGTATTAATGTCTTAATGATGTTTCGTAACATTAATAATATGTTATTAAAACGTCTTTAGATGTCATCTTGCTAACTGGGATGTCACACAGTTTATTCATTTACAATAAAGAATATTAATACGAACTTTCAAAACGCTCAAAAATTTATTCGGCTATTCTTAAATTAAATTCTTCTCTTTTTTAATTACAAAATACTTCCCATTTTAATGAAACTTAAGAAGAAGTATCAGGTGTCTAAATTAATTCTCGGCCTCTACGTTAAATCGATTACAACACCTATTCAAATTGAAATTTTTTCCCGCCGAATAATCGTTTTAAAGCGCCATCTCCAAGCTTTAAAACGAGCTATAATAGTTGACTACCGACATAACCTCAAAAAACAATAATAAAAGCAACGTTCGAAAAGCAACACCTGAGGCATTGTCTCCTTTTCGCATTCCAACTTTAAAAAAATGCTGCAGAAACACAAGAAATAATTTGTTCGGCCTTGGGCGAAAATGCTGTGTCTTATAGCACGTGTAAAAAGTGGTTCCAGAAGTTCTGGGATGGAAATTTTAATTTCCAGGATGAAGAACACCCTGGACAACCAAATAAAATTGAAGATGAGGAATTGGAGGAATTACTCAACGAAAATTCTTGTCAAACGTAAAAGGAGTTTGCTGAAGAACTGGGAGTCACTCAGCCGGTTATTTCTAATTTTTTCTTTAAAGAAGCTCGGAAGAATACAGAAGGTGGTTGGGTTCCTCACAACCTTACTCCTGAAAACAAAATTCGATGCTGCGACATGGCAATGTCTCGCTTGTTACGATTTAAACAAAAGGACTTTTTGAATAAAATTATAACTGGGGATGAAAAATGGATATTGTATGACAATCCTAAGAGACGAATGTCATGGGTTTATCCGGGTCAACTATCAACAAGTACTGCGAAACCGAACATTCATTAAAAAAAATGTGTATTTGCTGGGATTTCAAAGATATTATTTATTGCGAGATGTTCAAATCCTGTGAAACTGTTACTTCTAAACGTTACCAGGAGTAAATGATAAAATTAAATGACGCGATTGAAAAAAAAATTCTTTTACCGGTAGTGGAAATAGACAGGTAGTTTTGCT